TTTATAACATTCTCTTGTTTGGCACGGGGATGGGTTTGACACGTGGAAATAAATATCAAATGACTATAATACCCTTTTTAAAGATGTGGAGAGCCAATCATAGACAACATAACTAGGGCAAAGTTGTAATTTCGTGGTCTACCTATTTTTCCTCCTGGGGTGTGTGAGGCAAATGACAAGCGATGGAGGGCTTTCATCTGGCGCAGGTCTGAATTAGTGTGTGGCTTGGCGGTACTTTTTTCCCTCGATGGGATGGGATGTGACAACATAACTATTTTTTTCCCAGATCAAATGATGTCACGGTGCATGAGGCCCAGGGTCCTTAGCCAAGGTCCTTCTTTTCTCCGTGTCTCCTTGCCAACTGGGGCTTCACTGGGAAAAAGGAAACTTTTGAAACTCTGTAACACGGACCAAAGGCCCAGGGTCCATCGCAAACCAGCGTTTCCTCGAGATGGGCGGAAAATAATGGGCTTATCGTACTCGGACGGATGCCAATACTGACTAAACTGCCCACGGCCCACACCGTGCAGGCCCATGTTTTTCTCCCCAAACCTCCCCCTTATTTTCTCGCGTGTCCTAATTTCCATCTCAGTTCCTCTGTGTCAGGGGCATTGGTTCATTCAGAATTTCAGATGAGCATGCGGCCTGCAGTAGAAAGGTTCTAAAACAGAAAAAAGGGGGCATGAGGCAGATGCCGCGGCTCGCTCTCATCCGATTCCCGTACGTCGTGCGCGAGCACGACCATGCTTTGGCGCTTTCTTTGTAGGTTCTTCCGGTTCGCATCGGACCGTCTCTGACGAACCGGGAAAAGAAAGTTGTTCGATCGGTCGGTTCTTCTCTGACGAACGCACTGGGTAGATTTGGTTATAGCGACATGCCTGAAAGAAGCTTGTTGTTACTGCTACTAAAAGGTATGTACGGCATGAAGAAAGAAGCTTTTGTTATTTCACGACGTTTGTTGTCTTTATTTATCTGATGAAAACACCGGAAAAGGCAATTCATCCTCTTCTGAGCCTCCTCCCGTTAGCCGTTCTGAATAATTCCGTGGTGAACTCGTCATGGTCGCACTTTTTCATAACGAATATTATTTTTCTCTCAGAATAAATCGGTAAAAAGTCCAAGACATTAAGTGGAAGACTTGCCCATCTCCATTTGCATGTAGTAGACAATATAACAACAAAAAGGGGCTCATCTGAGAACACTGGAGTTGGGTTGACATTATTTAATTAATTAAAGTTATATTTTGGCGAAATTTGACGTTGTTGTTTTAACGTTTGACTGACAACAACGTGCTCCTCCTCCACATGCTTAGCAGTTAGCACGACTTCCTTGACCAGTTTTACCTCCACATGCTTAGCAGTTAGCGTTTAGCGACATGCCTGAAAGAAGCTTGTTACTGCTACTACTAAGCTCTGTACGGCAACACGTCGTTTGTTCCATGGTCATCATCATCGAGCCGCCCAAACTCAAGTGGAAGACTGGCCCATTTCCATTTGCATATAATAGACAATATAACAACAAAAAGGGGCTTATTTGAGAGCATTGGGTATGGGTTGACATAATAATTTTATTAAAGTTATATTTTGGTGATGTTTGACGTTTGTTTGTTTTTTAACGTTGACTGATTAACGTGCTTCCGAAACCCTCCGCTGTCCTCCTCCACATGCTTAGCAGTTAGCACGACTACCTGGACCGGTTTTAACCTCCTCTGAAAGGTATGTCTGTCTAAATGATGCCTGTGGTGGAATTGGCCTAGCGCACCATAGGGCCCAACCCTAGCCGCGCTCCCCTAGGCCCCCTCTGCGCCATCGCTGCCTACGCCTGTCTCCCCCATCACACTCCTCCCTACAACCCCTGCTCCTCCACCTTCCACCGCCGCCTGCTCTGTGGAGGGCGCTGAATCCGGCGTGCGACCTTGGCGCGCCAGATCCGGCGGCCGGCACCTCTCTCGACCCGGGTGGTGGCGGATCCGGCCATTGCGGACCTTGCCGCGCTTAGATCCCGCGACCGCACTGGCGCGCGGGTACACGGTGACTCCCTCGCCCGCGGACCCTCCGCCACCACCGCGCGCGAGCAGATATGATGGCGTCGGCACGACCAGATTCATGCTGCCGCGGCCGGATGACGCTGCCGCCGTCGCAAAGACAAAGGCGCGGAAGCCGGAGTAGGTGGAAGCGCCTCTCGCGCCTCCGACCTCGACGCCTTCCTCATCCACCCGTCCGCCCCCGCTCCGAGCCCATCGTCCACCCTATCCCCCCAAGCCGCCCCCTTCCATCCTGGGGGTAGCGCAGCGGGACGCTCCAAGGCTCGTCGTTGGGGGGACAACGACCTCCTCGACGACTCCGATGCGGAAGCCACCTCCACGACCCCCTACCTGGATGCGGTTCGCCAGGAGGCGCAGCCGCCGAGGACGTCGATGCTGCCTGTGATGTCCCTGCCTTGCACCCAACCTCGACGCCGAAGTCGTGGAGGCGGCGGTAGGGTCGCCAAGGTCTTTGGGCAAAAGGCGGGAACGCGTGATCGCCGTGCCTTCATATTCTTTGTGATGGCATGCCGGCTCGCCCAGTGGAGGGCCGTATCCCGGCACACCAGCGCCTCGGACGTCGCGGACGGGTCTCCGCCCCCAACGCCGATGGGTGGCGGGAGATCCTCAACTAACAGGAGTCGTGACCTGCGGCCGCCTCGGTTGAGCCTCGAGGGCCAGCAAGCGGAGGCCAGCCATCGAGTTGTCGACCACCGAGGCGCATCCCTGCAGATTTTCACGGCAAGTGCCTCAATTGCCTCTCCTCCGCACATCGGGTGGCAACCTGCAAGCTTCCCCAACGATGTCTCACGTGTAGGAGATTTCGACACATTACGGCGCGATCGCAGACCAAAGGCGCTTGGGCTCTCGGAGCTCGTGCGATGCAAGTGCCATGGGTCGCCAGCCGCAACGCCCTCTCCGTGGCACCCGTAATACCGCTCACATTGGTCCGGCGGACCATGGTGGCTTGCAAGACTCGGTGGGGTCAAGTCGGGCAACGCTTATTTCTCGCCACCGGTGGTTGTCGGCGCCAAAAGCGAGGCGTCATGGGTGGTCGGCAGGGGCCCCACAGACAGCGCCGGCCTTCACCTCGGTTGTTGCTGAAGCTGAGCCTGGGCACGGTGAGCTGTCCAGCGAGACGGGCACTGTCCAGCCTGACCCGTTGACGCTGATGCTATACCCGGATGCCACGCATGGTCGCGGCATCATGGAGGACCCAATGTTGGAGGAGTTCGTAGCCTCGCCGCCGCGGTGAGCCGGATCGCCGCTGGCTGCCTTCTCTCGAAGCGCTTTGTTGTCACCTCCGGTGGCCCCCCAACAAGATGAGGCCCCAACGATGGACGACTTCACCGGAGGATGACGACCCAGCGACAGTGGTCTCTTGTGCGTTGCGGATACCACCTTCGCGCCCCATTCACTGGGCAGTGGACTCACCGCCGGTGGATACCCACCCGACCGAGGACAACGACGACTCCGCCAAATGCCGCATCGATAGCTTCATCAACGAAGTGACGCGAAGAGGGACTCTCCACCGATTCGTGAGCCTCAAAGCAGCCTCTCCGCTAAGCCCGGTGATGCCGTATGGCGAAAGCGGCGGTTGGCGGCTTAGCCCTCTCTCGAGTACACCGCTTCCAAGCGAGGTGAGGTCTTGATCATGCAGCAGATGGGCTTCACCAAGGATCCATCAGCGCCATCCGCGCGTGAGTCTGAGGCCTATGACAAGCTCTTCGGCGGCGACCTGACTGCGTCCGAAGCCGAAGCGCTGGACGAGCTCTTCCCGGCTGTTCGGTCCAGGCAACCGCGAAGACTCAAGGCCACCTCCTAGGTCGCACCGTTGTGTCGGTATTGGTTGTTTCCTTTAATGTAATATCGAATCTAAATGTCTCTTGCTAGAATGGTTCAACTATGGTTGTGTTAAGTTAACCTCCTTCAGCGCTCGATACAAGCGCGTTGTATGTTTGTCTAAACTCTTCTACTTAATATAATGATATGCAAAACTTTTGCGTATTCTAGAAAAAAAAACCCCTCTAAAACAAAGGCAACTTCCCTATACAGTTCAGTTCACACTCCGGCCATGTACATACCTGAAGAAGCTGAATGAATAACCTTGTTAGTACATGTGCTTTCCAAATCCAGTTTTGGTCGAAAGGGATTTACGAAGGGGCTTCACAAAAGAGGAGGAATGGTGGAGGCCCCTTTTGTGCAGCAGACAACACTCCAAGGAGCCCTCGCTTTCAATTACATCACCTGTATTACCCACTAACCTTTCCCCGTAGCTTACCCTCACCTCATCAAGGAAAATAAAAGAAATCCAACCGCCTCACTCATTTCCTCCACACTCACGCCGAGAAAAATCTGAAACCACCAGGCTGCGGCTGAACCATTACATCACATTTTGACCTGAGCCTTCACGCTGTCCTCCTTTCTAGTAGTTCCTACTACCTGACCAGACCAAGGATTACCATGAACAGCTGAAGATCCTTCTGAATTCTGATTGATCTCTATATCTTCTAATCTTCCTCCTGTCCACTGTTTGCCCTGGTGGCAAGTGATTTAACAACAGCCTCATGTACAGTCTTTATTGGGGACAGTTACGACAGTGAAAGTGCAATACAGGTTGTTCTTGGATACAGAAAGTTTGAAGCTTTTTCTTTTCTTTTGTTTCTTTTAAACCTGAGCTGCCTTTCTCCTTCCTCCGTATGTGGTTCTTGGTCATCACACGTTCAGTTCTATCCGAACTCCCCTGTCCTTGTCCACCTCGAATATCAAAAGCGAGGCAGCCGGCCACTAGAAGAGCAATTCCCATCGTCCACTCCTTCCAATCGCCCCATCATTCAATTGTTTGCGTCGGCTTCTTCCTCTTACGCGTTGCGCCCCCAAGAAAACCGAACGTCTCTTGTCTTGTGAATTCATACGTGCGCGTGTGCACGTGCGCAGCTGATACCGACACATAGCTTCGTTCGTCGTCTCGTCTTCCATGGCGGCGAGCTATGATCGGCGGGCCGTCGCTGCCTCTCTGGTTGCGGTGGTGGCGGCGGTCGTCGCTGGGCTGCCGGCGGCCGGAGCGCTCGGGGTGAACTGGGGCACGATGGCGACGCACCGGCTGCCGCCGGGCACCGTGGTGCGGATGCTGGAGGACAACGGCATCAGGAAGGTGAAGCTGTTCGATGCCGACGCTGGCCCCATGGACGCGCTCGCCGGCAGCAGCGTGGAGGTCATGGTGGCCATCCCCAACAACATGCTCGACATGATGACGGACTACGGCACGGCCAGGGACTGGGTGCACCAGAACGTCAGCCGCTACAACTTCGACGGCGGCGTGAACATCAAGTGAGTCCCTACTGCTCTCTTGCTCGATCGATCGAGATCGTCTCTAGCCTCGACATGATCCCTACTCTCTGCGCCTTTTTTTCTTCGCAAAGAAAGGGTATGGCAAGAACAATTGGTCTTGCCGTCTTGGTGTGATCCTTTTCAGCTCTGCATTTGTGCTCCGCATTTGTTGTCTGCGTCTGCTGTGGCTTTCTAAAGCGCATATATATACCCTGAAAAATGGAAACTTTATATCGGTGACAACAAAGTAGTACCAAAAGCTGTGAACGTGCACTTCAGCTAAAACTTCCATAGCGCAGCATAGAAACATAAATAAACTGGCTCTTAGTTTCATTAAGGTGGAGATGCTAATCTTTTTTAATGAACACAATGATATTTTTTTAGTTGTGATTATGCCATACTCGACATTCTCGGAAGGACACTTCTTAATTCTTATGCGGGTACTACAAGGTTAATGTTTAGTTAGGAGCCCTTCTTGGTTAATGCTGTGCGGTGTGCAGTGGCTGCAAGTTTTAGCATAGGGTGATGCGTTTTTTTCTATCGGCTGATTCAGAGGTAGCCTTTTTATCAGTAAAGTAAAGTGTCAAACTTGACATCAACAAGTTGCAACATAAAGTTACGGATATCCATTGGATTTGTGCTGTTATCTGTATAAAGAATCTAACCTTAGGTGTTGTCTTCTGGGACCGAAATGTCTAAAAAACAAAGTTGCATGCACAAGAATAATCTCTCTGAAGGGATTAGTTCTCTTAAAGTACCAGGACACTTGTCTAACTGCTGTGGCCACTGGGCGCCCACTAGACATGCACAACTCTTTGAACTTTTCAGATAACTACTTCAATTTTGCGCTTAAAGTTCGTCGCTTCAAAGAATCTTCAGATAAGCAGCTTTTACAACACCTCATGACACTGTAGCGTATCTGATCTGGAAATGCCTGATTAATCAGTGGTAAAAAGTTATTATTTTGATTTCGGTGTACCACACTACCTAAATGTGTCGTCATCAACATCAAGTAGGAAATTATTCGGTGGGGTGGTTAAGATTTGCGGTGATGATAAGATAACGCTGTCAATGTTTGCGTGCAGATACGTAGCGGTCGGGAACGAGCCCTTCCTGTCGTCTTTCAACGACACGTTCCTGAACGTCACGCTGCCCGCCCTGCAGAACATCCAGCGGGCGCTGAACGACGCCGGCCTCGGCGACACCATCAAGGCCACCGTGCCGCTGAACGCCGACGTGTACAACTCCCCCACGGACAACCAGGTCCCGTCGGCGGGGCGGTTCCGGTCCGACATCGCCGGCCTCATGACGGAGATCGTGCAGTTCCTCAAACAGAGCGGCGCGCCCTTCACCGTCAACATCTACCCGTTCCTGAGCCTCTACGACAGCGACGACTTCCCGCTGGACTACGCCTTCTTCGACGGCACGAGCAGCCCCGTGGTGGACACCGGCAACGGCATCCGGTACACCAACGTGTTCGACGCCAACTTCGACACGCTCGTGTCCGCGCTCGCCGCTGCAGGCGTCGGCGGCCTCCCCGTCGTGGTCGGCGAGGTCGGGTGGCCGACCGACGGCGACAAGCACGCCACGGCCGCGTACGCGCAGGAGTTCTATGCGGGCCTGCTGCGGAAGCTGGCGGCAAACACCGGCACGCCGCTGCGGCCGGGATACATCGAGGTGTACCTGTTCAGCCTCATCGACGAGGACGCCAAGAGCGTGGCGCCGGGCAACTTCGAGCGCCACTGGGGCATCATGCGCTACGACGGCCAGCCCAAGTACGCCATGGACCTGTCCGGGCAGGGCCGGAACACGGCGCTCGTGGCGGCGAGGGGCGTCCAGTACCTGCCTCGCCAGTGGTGCGTCGTCAACCCCAACGCGCCGGACACGAGCAAGATCGGCGACAGCGTCACCTACGCCTGCACCTTCTCCGACTGCACCTCGCTCGGCTACGGCTCCTCGTGCAACGGCCTGGACGCCGTCGGCAACGCGTCGTACGCCTTCAACATGTACTTCCAGGTGCAGAACCAGGTGGAGGGCAGCTGCGACTTCCAGGGGCTCGCCGTGCCCACGGCGCAGAACCCGTCCACGGACGCCTGCAACTTCACCATACAGATCACGCCGTCGGCCGCGGGGAGACGGCGCGCCGGCGCCACGGCCGCGATGGCTCTGCTCCTCTTGGTTCTTCTTGCGTCCCCTGACATGTCGTGCCGTGACTGAGCCCGTGATTCGGCTCATGTCACCAGTTAATAGAACTCTAGAAGGAGCTGTCGTCTCGTCTGTAAAGTTTTTTGTTTGGTTTTGTATAGCTAATGATAATCTCGTGTTACCAGATGATTTAGGAGTGTCTAGATGTAAGAAAGATCAAGATTCAAGAAAACAGTCGGCATGTTCGCTGGTTGGTTTCTGGGCTGGTTTTGGTTGGTCTTTGGTTTATCGTAAGAGGAAAATACTATTATTTGGTTTGGTTTGGTTAATTTGGAAACCAACAAGCAAACATGCTGAGTGATTACAAAGCCAGAATAGTGACTACACGTCTGTGTTTCTTACTATGAAATAAAATAGAGCCTACCTTTATAAAGGAAACGACACCAAAGGCGCTGACGACGCTAGCTACCGTGGAAAGGTTTTTACCTGCAAATCCCATCGCGATAGGAGAATAGTTACGAAAACGATGCCTTCAGTGACGAAGCGACATCCACAAACGTCATTGATCGAGCTTTCACCTTGACCTGATGCAGCCCATCCATCGCGGTCCACCAGAACACCCTGCAGAGTATGCATGTCCCAAAGAAAAGCAGCGATGATGACACGCAGGCGTCCTCCCTGACATCAGACGCCACCACATGCACCGGGGCGTCCCCGCAGCACACGTAGCCACGAGAAGACGTCCCTGACCCACCAAGGAGACGGGAAAGCAGAGAGGCAAGGGGGCAGCCCTAGTGCTCAAGGGCCGAGCCACCACCTCCAGGAAGCCACAACACGAAGGGCGCCCGTTGCCCCGGGAAGGATAGGCGACGCGCCGACAACCCAAGCCAGCCATCGGAGTCCCAATGGGCATCCCTGTCTCTCGCCACAGGTGGACAAGCGTAGTAGGGATGCCGCCCTCCACCTGATGACCTAGAGCACAGTACCACCTTGGAAACGCCGGATCCAGCCACAGAACTGACGGATTTGGCCACCCAAAGCCAACGAAGGCCGCCACCACTAGAAACTAGGAGCACAGACCGATGACCACAAATGCGAGGAAGCGAAGAAACACAGAATGAGAAGGGGAAAGGGAGCCTTGCCGTCATCGTCATCCGCATTGCTCGGGCCCCAAGCAACCGGCTCTAGAGGCGACGAGACACAATGGCACCATCGGGGAGGGCGATGGTGTGGGTTTCTTAGGTCCACCCGAACCATCCGAGAGGATGATGTGGGCGTCTCTCAAAGAATTCCTAGATAAAGCTACAACATGAATCTCAAAGCTAATTTGCCAGGATCGAAGTATTAGATGTTTGCGCAAATTTGAACTTTGGCACTAGAAAGTGAACAAGCAATATAGGCTACACGATTGGATTCGGCTCCAGCCGAAGCCCTACTAAACGGGCATCCAAGAAACCGCTTCGGTGAAAAAGTTGAGGAGCCATAACCAATGGGTGGAGGAAAAAAACGACTTCTCCCACCCCCTCATAAATTGGGCAAAAATTATAGTGAAATTGTCGCTGAAACCGTTTTTGCCAAATGTTTTCTAAAACGGTCTAGCTTCATCGGATAAGCTAACTAAAATCGGAGCCCTTTTAGGAGGGATTGAAGCCCTGCCAAAATAGCTGGTCAAATGTTTTATGTAAGTAATACTGATTAAATAAGGACACGAAACGTTTATAAGACAATTTAGATCCCAATAGTTTGAAAGACATCATTCTTTAAAAGAGAAAAAGAATGTTGAGACCAAAACTTTGAGGAGCCCAGTGGCATCTATCTTGTAGTGGTGTGCTCAATTCGCTAACATTCTGCAACAAGGGAAACCAAAATAAAGTATGCTGAATTCACTAACATTCTGCCACAAGGAAAAACAAATTGAAGTATGTTCAATTCGCATGGAGCCATATATGTAGTGGTATGCCCCTATCTTTTTCTATAAGCCGTAGCATTTTGCATGGTTTTGCTATTCTATGGCACCTTTGGAACAAAGGAAAAATGGAGGAATTTTTAGAGGATTAGAATTAGAATCGAAAATTTCCTATGAACCCCTTTGGAGCAAAGGATTTAGTTACTACGAATCATATGGAATAGCTTGTTTTATAGGAATTTTTGAGGAACTTTACCAAGAGGTTGAGCCTCATAGAAAGTTTTCTTTGTGTCACTCCCTCTCATCGAATTCATGTGTTTTTATTGTGCTCCATCCAAATGTCCAATCTTGCAGTTTTCTATGTTTTCTCGATCTACAGGATTCAAGATATCAGGACATTGTATTCCTACGTTTTCCTATTTCTGTACCAGTTATTTCTTCTCCTCTAATGAGACACATGCTAAAAGAATTTACTGCTCTACTTAATTAGAAGTTGGGGATTACTTGTTTGTCCAAACTGGTGTGTGGCCATGGTGCATGCATGGACGACCGCGACGGGCGGCAGGGTCGGGCCAAGGCGTCGACGGGGAGACGCACGCCGGCGAGCGGCCGTGCACAACGGACACACAGAGAAACGGAGGACTTGACTGTTGGTCGCACAGAAGAGTGACCACCGGTGCGTCGGTGCGTGCCCATCGTCGATCGTTCTGCTCGGCCTTCTTCCCCGTCGACGCCATCTCGTCACGCTCCAGACTCCCAGCACCGCTGGCGCTGCTAGCGATGCACGCCAGCGTGCGCTTCACATGTAGCGATGCGGATGTGTTGCCATGGATACCGCCAGTTTTGAGCGGGTAGAGAGCCCGGAGAGTGCCTTTTTGGCAGGGATTCGAATTCACCATATTTGGATTCATTAGTTTGATCCACCAAAATATTTTTCAAACAGTTTAGATCCACCAAATTCAGATTCACCAAAAAGTGGATCTAGGAGCTGGATTCACCATTTTAGTGGATCTCTTGTGGGTGCTCCACGAATAGAGTTTCGTACCTCCTCGTGAATTTAGGTGGAAATTACCCACCTTTGCCGCTGGTTACACACCCTGCTATGTACCGGTTCATTTTTTCTATTTTGTTTGCTTTCTTCTCCCGACCGAATGTAAGCCGCCTCCCTCCTCCCCGTCTAGCGGTCGGGGAGGCATGCCGCGCCCACCTTCTCCTCCTCCGCTCACATTCGACGAGCTGGCCATGGCGGAGAATATAGATCCAGATCCTCAACCTCCTCCACCTTGCGGCTGCCTCCTCACGTCACCTAGCCTCGCCGCCATGGCCGCCTCGGTGGCGTGGTACCGCCGAGCATCCTCCTGCCGACGTGGCGGCCCCCTAGCCTCTCGTAGCAGGCGCTGGCCGCCATGGCTGGAGGCACGGCTGGGGGGCTTCACGGACGTCCCATTGTCCATGGTGGTTCTTCCCAAGCCCAGCCCACGAAAAAGAGAGGAAGGAGGAAGAACTGTATTTCCTTTCTTTTTTCTACTAGAGACTAGAGATAGAGACAATGACATACGGGTCCACCACAAGGGCAAACAGGCCATTCTACTAAAATCTCAGTTTTGTGGATCTGGAGCTGCTGCTTTGCTAAACAGTTCCATAATAATAGATCCACGGTGGAACCGAGTCGCCGTCACCGTCGGTTTTACTCCGGCCAGTCAGCCAACGGCGGCAGTTTCTCTTAGGCCCAAGGCAAGAGGCGGTCCGGTCCGTGGTAGCTGATGACTAACGACGGCCCAAGATGGCGGGATCTCGGCCCAACGGTTGTTCCCGCATGCAAACCGACCCAACAACATTATCCCCTCGCTATCCCCCTTCTTCCTTGTCCGCTCCATTTCGAGCTCAATCGCTTGCTGGCTGCCCCCTCCGCTCCTCCGATCGTTCGCCGGCGGGCACGCGCCGGGCGAAATGGAAGCGGCACCATCCGTCCGCACCTTCTCCCCGTCCTCGTCCTCCTCCGCAGGGGCTAGACCCTGCCTTCTCCTCGCGGGCCCGGCCTCGCGGCGCGCCCGGGGGCTCGCGGCGCCGCCCCAGCCCCGCGCCGTCGCCTCCTCCCGCGCACCGCTGGTGGTCTCCAGCCCGCCACCGCCGGAGGCCTCGGTCACGCCCGCACCCGCGCACGCCAAGGTCGACCGCTCTGGCCGCTTCTGCAGCCCCCGCGCCGCCCGGGAGCTCGCGCTGTGAGTTCCGTTTCCCCAGCTTCAGCTTCTACGTTACGTTCTTCGGTTTCTCTCCTTCGGTGCTGCGTTGGGGTTGGCTTTGGGCTGTGGTTCTTTCCTGGAGGTGAATCTCTGCTTCCGCGTCTCGTGTCGCACTCGCAGGATGATTTCCTACGCCGCATGTCTGGAAGGAACTGACGTCGTCCGGCTCTTCGACCGCAGGATCAGCGCAAGACGAGGTCAGGGTTCTTCTCCCAGCGCCTCTTCTTTGTGCATTTGTTTCAAGGATCAGCTCGTCGATTTGCTCGGCTGAATACCTCCTCGCATCAGTGCAATCTCCTGGGATCCTGGCGTTCTATGCATGCATTTTACTTGCTGTTTGTCCTCCTATTTCGGTTTCCCCACGCTTGTTCAGAGCCCGGGTTTGTTTTCGACAAGGCATGCCTATTGAGTTACAACCATATGAGCTTTGGTGGGGGACCTCTCGAGGTTGGAACGGAGGAGGAGGCTGAGAAGCTGACCAGTCAGAACGAGAAGGATTCAGCCAACGGTAACAACTATGCCCACGCAACTTCTGGTTCTACACCCTTATGTTAATGCGGTTACAGCTGGAGTCATAAATTGTTGTTGGTAAATTTGGACATATCTCTTTTTTTCCCCCCCTCACAATGGAATATCTCTATATCCAGAAGATTCCAAAGAGCACAAGTTCAGTTGGGTACCAATTCCATTATAGCAGTCTTTAAACAGTTATCCTTTGCACAATTTGAAACATACAACCACCAGAAAATCTAGTTGATTCCTGTTTAAACAAATTTTATGGTGAGTTTCAGTCCAAGTTTTGAAACTTTCCTCATATTTTATATCTATGATTCTGATTTCCTAAAGTAAAGGGAGCAATGGATCATTGGATGTCGATGTTCCATAAATACATTATTGAACTTAGGCCAAGTTTTTTTTTTATTGTGGGCGTGTGCCATTTGTCATGTATATAAAAACTGGAGGGCATGCTAGAGCAATTTCAAGTTGGTGCTGTGAATTTCAGACCGTCAAACTAGAACAGTTAATGCAGTGCTTTGGCTTAAAAAAAGCACAATGTGCTAGGTAAGCAGCTGCGTGGCACCTAACACTTAATTAGGTATAGTGGCTAATGCCTAGGTGCCACCTAGTCAGGCTAGGTCGTCAATTGTCACTTTTAAGAATAGTGACATAATGAGTTGGCTAAAAAAAATCAAGATTTAAAGGGGCTGTGTATCTGTTTTTTTTTGTTTTGCAGACTGAGTTTTAAGAGAGCTATACCATAATCCATCACTCTAAGCGCCAGTAAATTTTGATATATTTTATCAAGCTATGTGTTGATTACACTTTTAATCGACTTGCTGAAAACTGTTCACCATCATTAGCATGCATCTTTTTTGTAGCAGCCCAGTGGCATCTATCTTGTTCAACGCATAATAAACATAATCTTATGATGCATGCTAAACGGCTCATATAGTCATATTAACCATATACCATATACATTTTTCTTCCTTAGTCTGTTGTGAAATCAGCTGAGTAACTATAGATTTCTTTTTGTGTAAATATGTTCCATTAATGTTTGGTTATTCTTCTGCTAAGAATTTGACCTGTTTTTCTTTCATATTCAGAAGAAGATGTACTTTCAGCTCCTCCAAAACTGGTTTACAACAACTTTGTCTTAAGGTATACTTTCCTTCTGGCCCCATTCCACTAAAGGCATTAGGTATCCACACTCTGTTCTGATATATGATAAAATTTAATTTCCTGTTTAATATTTAGTCCTGCTGCTCTTACATTCCTAATTAGATGTTTTTCAAGAACAGGTTGTCCAGGGAACTTTTAGTGGCTGTTGCCAGTGGATGGGATAAGCATGTAGATATCATTGACAAAATAATTCCCCAGGCTTGGAAGGTTAGATACCTTTTCCTAATCTTCTATGTTGATTCATCAAATCCCTTCAACATGCATCAAGCTGTCTATATGTTTATCAGTTTGGTTCAAACATATACTTATTCTGTATATTACACAACCGTTTTTCACTACACTGAACTGGTGAACAATCACTCTGATGCATAACAGAAGATGTTTATATGGTTATCAGTTTAGTTCAAACGTATCCTTATTCTCACCACTGTTTTTCACTACACTGAACTAGTGAACAATCACTCTGATGCATACCAGAAGTGTATGACCATCAAGGATTTTTTTTTGAAACGAACGGCAGGAGCTCTGCCTCTCAATTAAGGAAGGAAAGAATATAGTTTATGTACAGGTCGCAACCCGCTTAGACGGGTACAGAGAGAAGCAAGGGCCAATAAACACGTAAACAAAACACAGCCAACGGACGAATCCCTGGCTTGCTAGCCCCCCCTTTCTAAAGCCCTTCTCCGCTGCTCAATGTCTTCCTTAACTCTAGCAGCGACCTGCAGCGCCGATTCTTGGGCGTTATTGAATATTCTTCGGTTTCTCTCCTTCCAAAGATTCCAGATTGTGTAGACCACCAAACCATCAAGGATTATTTCATGCCTTATCTTTTGGCATGCAGTGAAATATTGAGATTTTAGACTTATGACCTTATTACGCTACTTAATTTTCCAGCATAGTTAATTAGTTATTTCTGTTGGGCACCTCAAGGATGAGGAAGTGATACAGAATCTGAAGAATGTACCTTCCTTAATCTGAATCGTTTTATTTCTATATTTGTTTCTACTACCAGAGCTCAGATGTTTTTAAAGTAAAAATTAGAAAAATATGAAAAACAATATATTAATTCCCTTTACTTTATAATCTACCTGATCTTTAAACTGGTGTTATATTTTAGTATTTAGTATTTTGCCGTCTTGTTTTGTGGCATAACCTGCTGTTGATACATGGAAAATTTCATGATTGCAGGATGAGCCTGTGGCAAGGATACTTGAGCTCTGCATTCTACATATTGCTATGGCAGAGATGACATCAAAAGGAACACCGCACAAAGTTGTCATTAACGAGGTGCTTATTATCTCCCTATTACTTCTTTTCTTCTTCATATTTTGACTTTACGCATCTAGCACCTGCATGTTTTCTTATAGCTATTACTCTTTCCATTTTTTAGTACTAGTAGTAGAATAAATGTCTCTCGACCCTTGTCTTTCAGGCAGTAGATCTGGCAAAGCGATTTTGTGATGGTGGTGCCCCTCGGGTAATCAATGGATGCCTTCGAACATTTGTTAAGGATCATGTTGACGTTGCAGGCACGAGCCAAGGAGCCGAATCAAAATCGTGATTTTTTGCAAATACCCTGAATCGCACAGCATGGTGGCTGAAGTAAAGAAGTATGGTGAAAACCTTGCTGTCTTGGAGTTCAGGCAAACACCTTCCATCATGAAGATTTAGCCTTTAACCTAAGGGAACCTAAACAGTAAACATGCTGGGCTCATCAAGGAGCCACAAATAGTTCATTCTTTCAGAATGTTCAGTTATTAGGTGAAGTTTACAGAGCTGTAAACTGGTGATGCACATTCATGCTCCATCTGAAACAACAGAAGGTTATCGCTTCTGATAGCCTACTAGTCCCGTCGTTAAGTGATCAGATATTAAGATGATCACAGGTTCAGTAAAAGTTTGATGTATATGTAATAGGTTATGATTGGCATTGGCTCATGCTCTGGGAGAGAGATAATTCGAGTTTCGAAAATTGATGCAAGACATGTACACGCATTTTAGGATTATTAATCTCTTATGTCGCATATGATGTTGGCTTCTACTTGGCTTGATTTTAGATCTTTTCTCTCAAACAAAATTCGTTTTAGATTTCTGTCCGTTTTGTACTGGTCTTATTGCCTACTCTCTCCATTCTAAAATGAAAGAAATTTTAGCTAACATTTTATGTATAATGCAAGATGTTTTAGTTAACATGAATGCGCACTGCAGCAGTGACGAAATGCGACTGCTCATGTAGTCAGGCCTGTTCGAATCCACCGTGATTATAATAATTAGCTAAAAGAATTTAGGGGCTCTTGTGTTTTTGTCCCTATTTTGATGTGCAATTGTGATTTTGTCCTCGTTTTTCTAACTTTGTGATTTTGCCCTTAACTGTTTACAAGTCAACGCGATTTTGTCCCTGGTCAACGGTAAAAATAGGGGCAAATTCGCGTTGACTTGTGAACGGTTAAGAGTAAAATCACAAAGTTAGAAAAACGAGGACAAATCACAATTGCACATCTGTGTAAGGGGCAATAACATCATTTTCTCAAGAATTTAATTGTAATCTAAACAGACTAAGATTATATAATTAAAACACTCTATTATAATAATTTTATAATCTACCTCGAGCCTGCTTTCTGGTAATTACGATTCTCACATAAACGAAGAATGATCCATCACAATAATTCAAATACTCCGATTATTATAGTTCATAATTTCATAATTTTATATATAATTCAGATTATAAAACAAACCAAACAGCTGCTAAAACTGGAAGTGATCACCAGGAGATTTTTTTAATGCCTATCAGGTATAGCTGTAGCATCTATTCATACACACACGGCCACTACTCACATCATCCGTGTAAAAAAAATCTATAACTCCATCTAGATCTAAAGACCGCGTTCTTCTTGAGTCAAGAAATCCACTGATTTCCTAAACGATGAGTACGTCACGATCCATTGATCCATTATGACATACGCGCAGAGAGGCAGAAATCGTAGGAAAAACCCGAGGCAACGGTGAGGCACGCGAGTCGATCAGGATCGAACTCGGGTGGGCTGCTCGCACGCCGGCGTAGCTAGCCAACCGAGCCCTGCTCGGTCCTCCTGCTTGTGCGATTTGCGAGCAGGAGAAATCCTTGATCAATGCCCGTCAAACGAGCGTCATACCCATACACCGACACCGGGCCCCATCGCATGTTATGACCCACAGGTCAGTTTGCATGCCTCGAACCAGCACGTGGGCAAACCACACCCTGGGTAACCGGCCACAGCCGGTGCACCCTGTTCCCCTACAAAAGCCAAGCACTCGACATCCACCGCCTGCTCCCTGTCCACCGATACAACCCAACTCCCGCACGCATCTACCTCCCACCACCAGACTCCCCCCGCATTCTCACGCCGCCTGCGCTCTCCCTTCCCCCTCGCGAGATAGATAAGCCTAGCTCCCTTCCCCTTGCTTTCCCTCCTCTCCAACTCCTCTCCCGATCTCTATAAAAAGACCCGGATTTCGAATTCCCCCTCGAACCCGTGACACGCGCGCTCCTTTCCCTCCCATTTCGGCCCCGGCTTTGGCCCGGATTCGTGGCGCGGAGCCGCCGAGGTTGCGTGCGTGATTCGGATGGCGGAGCCGGGGCTCGAGGGCAGCCAGCCGGTGGATCTGTCCAAGCACCCCTCGGGCATCGTCCCCACGCTCCAGTAAGTCCCGGATCTGGGTCGTCTGGGGTTCGGGGGTCGCGGAGAGATCCCGTACCGTACGTGCTAGGGTCGCGCCGCGCGGCGGATGGGTGCTTGGGTGTGCTGGAGCTGCCAGGGCTTTGGGTCTGGGCAGCGGGTTGCCTCCCTGTCTCGTGGGTGGTGGTGTGGTTGGTTTGTGTCGTGTTTTTGTTCAGCTTCCTGGTGCTGGGTACATCAAAACGAGCTAATATTGTCTTAAATTGTTGGGGCTTTGGTGGGAATGATTTAGTTGTCATCCTCTCTCGGAGGGTTGATTTCAGGTACGAGACTTGGGAGAACGAGTCAGGGCCAAACTGCAGAGCAGATTTCCTGATTGAAGTAATAGTTGTAGCAAGCATAATCTCTCCTTGACCATATTTCCATTCCATGTTTTGACTGGATGGTGCATAATTGTGTTATGTGATAAGCAGTCAGCCTCGCGGACTGAGATTTCGATATCTCATCTCGTGGGGAGGGTTAAATGCGTTGGTTTGGTTTGAGGGACGTCTCGAATGGGGCAATCATTTTTCCACAAGTGTTTGGTTGGGAGGTGCTGGGACGGGGTCATTTCTGCAGTGGCATATTCCTGAAATATGAGGACAGCTCGGTCCCCTCGAATCGGGTGGATGAAGCCATTCCTTGCGGACCGAGTCGCCCGCCATCTTTGCATTGCCAGGTGCGAGCATGGTCAAACGGAGGGGGCGCGGGCATGGGGAAGCTCTGAGCTCAAGGCAAGCAGAGGAGAGATGGACGGAGAATATGCAGCGCACTGGGCTAGCACCGACGACAAGAGTGGCGTGAGCTCCAGCATGGGAAGGGCGGGTCTGATGACCTCCTCTGGCCACACGAGATCTCTGGTAGGGCAGATTGAGCACTCTGGTGGCGGCAATGCCGAGATCTCTACACCGAGATCTTGGGCGAATGGGTTGGGGCGGTGGTGGTGCCCAGCTCTTGGGCACGGAGCTGTGAGATGTTGGGCGACCGTGGTACGAAATCTTGGGAATCAGGCTTTGCTCACCCGAAGAAGATAACAAGAATAGGTGTAGAGACAATGGCTGGTGGGGCAATGGATTATTGCATCTAATGGTGTTAAAACTCCAGCGGGTTCCACCCACCATATCCTTGAACCAAACAAAATTGGAATGAACCTATCCCTCCAACCAAACCAGAGCTGGGTCAATCCCGTCCAAAAAATAGGGACCTGACCATCCATCGCACTTTGTCCCCAAACCATAAGCAACCTAAGGGACTGGCTTTTAGAAAGATTTTTTGTTATGATTTTGGTGAAAGATTTTTTCTGCAGGAGATTTCATTCTTCGTGTGGGATTTAAATGCTATGGGCTTATTAGTGCTATATCAAGTCCTGAAATGACTTCGATTGATACAAAGCTTTTATGATCCAACCATTATAGTGTAGGAATGTGGTTATCTTGAATGAGTCTTACGTTTATTATGATTTGTACATGTTGGAAATTGTAAGAAGAAATTAATAGCACACTATCATATCAAAAAAGAACAATGAAAATCATCTTGTAGTGTCTCTGCAATGCTAAAAACTTACAATAAGAACCCTATGTTGCTTTTACAAAACAAAATTCACATGTTTACCTTCTTCGATCCTGGTCTGCTTGACGTGATGTCATTTTTTCATGACAGGAATATTGTATCAACAGTTAATTTGGATTTAAACTTGACCTCAAAGCAATAGCTTTGCAAACACGAAATGCAGAGTATAACCCAAAGGTATAGTGATTACTTCAAAGCAATGGCTTTGCACGGTATTTCCTGGTGGTTTTATCTAGCAGATGATATTATGGATATACAACGTATGTTGATCCTTTGTAATGATGCACAATCTTATCTGTGAGTTCAAATAGCTTTGTGCTAATAGCTAATGGATGGCCTGGGATATAAGGATGTGCAGCGGTTAATTTTGGGCCAGATGGATGCTGATATCCAGCTTGACCTGTGAATAACCACAATATTCTTTGACAAACAAGTTCTAAATTTTTAGCTTATATATGACTTGCTTTCTCTTAGGGCATTCTATTGAATGCAGTCTTTCTAGTTATGATGATATAATGTAGCAATCTGATTTTTTGCTAAGTTTTCTCTGTTATTATATTTTGGTTTGTTGACTCTTTTATCTGTAAACAGCGTTTTGCATGATCATCATGAGAATAAGGGAACCCAAAACCCACGGCACTGATATTTGCATCGGGTAAAATGGTATGTCATCAACATTTTTGTCTTATACTGTCAATTTTCAAGGATTTTGCATGCTTTTGGTGGCAGAATTGCCCTTGTATTAAATTTATTCACATCAAAATTCTTGTTGCATATATGGCCTCACGTGAGATATGATCTGTTTTTTTACATGCTTTATTGCCTATATGAACTAAAACTGAGTATATGAGATGTGACTTGGCACTACTACTTGGGAGGAGGAAGATATTAGTTTGGAAGGTCAAGTAGTGCCTAGGAAGGATACCTTTCGATATTTAGGATCAATGCTCTGAGAGAGACTAGGGATATTGATGAAGATGTTAGCCATAGAATCAAAGCGGGGTGGATGAAGTGGCGCCAAGCATTTGGTGTCCTATGTGACAAAAGGTACCTGAAGCTAAAAAAGGTAAGTTTTATAGGGACGGCGATTAGACTTTACTATGTTGTATAGTGCGAGAATGTTGGCTCATTTAAAAACGGCGACATGTTCAATGAGATAAGTGTCGGCGGAAATCTCTCGTATGTTGCGTTGGATTTGCGGTCATACAAGAAGGGATCGAGTTGAACAATGATATCGTGATAGATTAGGGGTAGCACCAATTGAAGAAAAGCTTGTCTAACACGGTTGAGATGGTTTGGACATGTCCAACGGAGACCTCCGGGAGAGCAATAGGTGCGTGAAAGTGGAATCTTAAGCCAGGATAGTAGCGTGAAGAGAGCAGGAAGACCGAAATTGACTTGGGTAGAGGAATAAAGGAGATTTGAAATGATGGAATATACCCAAAGACTTAGCCTTAGATAGGGGAGTGTTTGAAAAACAGCTATTCACGTGCCTAAACCTTGATTGCTTCGCTGGTTTCAACTCTAGCCTACCCTAACTTGTTTGGGACTTAAAGGCTTTATTTGTTGCTTTGTTGCCTTGGTGCTGCGTTGTCAAAGATAGAAAGACTAATCTTTTCTGTTTTTTGCTGTGTCCTAATCTACCTCTCTCAACCATCAAGTATTGGA